TACAAATTTTATATAATATATATTAAAATTTGTCTTTCTCCATAACTTGCATACTACTCACTGTGGATAGTGAGTAGATTGGCTTGTAGATAGTCTCCCAAAACGAAGCAGAATATTTGTTATAGCAATGCTCTTGCTTATGTGTGTGAATTATTGTTCAGAGAAAAACATTAAGGTATAGGAGTGTGATGTTCCAATGATCTGATCTGTTAAAGCTGTGCATGGCTCTCATCTTTTTCCCCAAATTATATCTGGAAATTGACACAGAAGCACAAGGAAAGCATTGCTATTGATTAGGCACTTGAGCCGATGCTTATGTGCTTAAGAAGAGCTGCCTTTCTGACAAGCCATCCCAAACTGGAGCTAGCCAGTATCTTCAACAATTAACACTGTACAGTGCTCAAAATGGATGAAATAAGCCCCATTATGTTTTACTTTCACCGTTGCATCCTTATGGAATGATGTCGTTTTATTATGTGCTTTAGACTATTAGACTGCTTAGACCAGTGTTTCCCAATCCGGTCCTCGGAGACCCACAGACAGTGCAGGTTTTTGCTCCCTACCAGGAGCTAGGAGGTAGCAAAAATGTGGACCTACTGTGGGTCCCTGAGGATCGGATTTGGAAACGCTGCCTTCAGGTGGCTGTGGTGAGGTGGGTGGTGGATAAATACCAGCAAGATGCTGCGGTACTACTGCCTTGAAAGTACGTCTCTCCACTACATTCTCGGGAGACTAAGCCTGTTAATTAACAAGGATGTGTAACAATCATATCAATGGTGTGATTGAGGGAAAAAAGAGAAGCTTAACGTTGCTACAAGCCATGCCATTAAAATCCATCTCTCCAATGTCTTTGCCCATTCATTCTTAATACATTATATTGACAAAACTTTTGCAACCATGCATCCAGGGTATTGTACCCAGTGCTGCCTAGGATAATCTCCAGTTCCCCCCACAACCCTGTACTGAATAAGTGGTTAGAAGATTGATGGATGTATTATTACGCCCTTTAAGATCTCCTATAATTCCATATTAACTGTCTCCTTTAAGTTAAACAGCTGCCATGTTCTCACTGCTTGCAATGTCCGCTTGCTTTTGTGCTTCTGCCACTGCCCCATGTCTTGGCAACCATCCTGAATGGAACCCTGAAATATCTAAAAATGTTTTTAGTTCTCGAGTTCTTGTTTGGCGTTGCTCATTAGCCAGTGCATGCTCGACCATATGGGACAAGGGGGATGACAAGGACCTAAGCTCAAGAGACGCGGCCGCGAATACAGAACCGCAGCTGAGTCTCCTTGCAGCCCTCGGCAATAGCTCGCCATCGGGTATGCAGATTGGGCAGCGTATTATCTGGGAGAGCACTGTGACCAGCTCACTTCAGACAGAAGCACACCTGGGTTCAAGGATTTTGGGCCAGAATGCAACTGGATTTCAGGATGAGATTGGTCTATTGTTCGACCAGTTGAGGCCTTGAATATATTGGTAATAATGGAGGATCCAACTTACACAGGTGCATGTTCTTACTTCCTGTATTTACTTTCCAACATAAGTCTAGATGTTTTTTTTTCCACAATTATGGCGTGTCAGTGTTTAGTGTGTATCTCTAACTTAGAGGAAATCAACAAGTGAGGGAACACGTCATCCCCACTGCTGGGAAATGGAGACTGGGCCACTGTCAGGACGGAGTCATCAATATTGGTTGCAGGCCATCGATCACTTGCATTGATCAGGATGGGCTGGGGGCCAGTAGGAAGAGGGGGGCCTCTGATTTGCATCCTGGCAATTGTTTAGGGTCACCGACAGATTCAATTGCCTATCACAGCCTGATCATGGGAACAAACGGCTGCTGTCGATATGCAGGACCAGGCCGTGCGGAAGCTGTCGCTCCGAATTACTCCTGCTCCAAGATCACGAGCTTGGGTTGGGTTAGTAGGGCAGTGGAGGACAGGTCCTCACCTTAACTGGCCTCCACAACACCCAACTGCCAATAATGCTGATTCAAATGAATCTTCCGGATCCTTCTGTAGTTGTCTGAAGAACTAAATCTTTGCTTGTAAACTCTAGCATGTAACTTACTTGTGGACGTTCTGGAGGTTCTCACATGGATTTAGCATCTCATTTACCCACCAATGGTGAAGACCACGATATGTTAACACGTGTTATCACCTGCTTTTTTGGGCCAGCATATTTTGCCCATGCTTGTAGACAACCTTGTGCTCTAGGTTGGTTTTTTAGTTTCTTCATTAGCATTAGAGGGATCTAATTGACCTGACTTAATTTGGCATCAATTAATTCACCTGAAAATGTCCCGAAGAGCATTTATAATATTACATAACTGAGTATTCACTATATGAGTATTCAGTGTCAGAAATGAGCATCAGTCCTTCTGTTTGAGCAGAGAGGTGGAGCTTTAGCATAGTTGCATGGATTTCTGTGCTGCAGAGTTTTTTTTTTTTTTTACAATGGTATAGGTTATTCGCCACTTCCCTGAAACAGACCATTGCATGAACAGCATAATTTTTCATACCTGATATTTTTGACATAGTAATGAATTCAGTTGTAGAGCTGTGGGACAAGGGCAAGGCAGACCAGCTCATTCGTGTGGCTTTGGCGTTGTCTGAATATATTAGTGCTGAGCAATGTGGCCCCATGTTGTCCAGCTTCCACCCGTCATGTGACTGGATGGGCGGTCCTGTGTCTCCTGTTGTCTCTGAACAGCACAGCAGCTTCAGCGCGAGAGTTTGGCCTGAGGCACTTCGTTAACTAATTACTGAAAACAGGAACCTTCGTCTCACACCCCCGCCCCTCCCTAGGTCCTATGGTTTTTGATAAGGCCCGCACACTTGTCAACAAACGCGTATTTAATTAGCGCTGATTGTTGTTAGCGTGTTCAATAGTTATTAATTAGGACTGGGGGGCAAGGGGAGGGGGGGTTAACTTGATTGCATGCCTGAAGCTGTAGTATCTCATGCAGTTTCACACTCTGGTGTGACACAGATGTGAATTTTGGAAGGAAAAACAGATGGAGAGAAGAAAGGTCATTTTCAAGGATTATAGTTATTGAGTATAGAGTATGGTACAAACAAACGATAACTTACAGCTGGGTGCACTATACAATGCAAGATCCTTACTGTTTATTGTTTGTGGTGTAATAATAATAATAAATAACAGTATCCCCGTTCCGTCATAGGAAACACCCTTAGCCCAACATTCACAATATCAAAACAGTGCTGCTTCTGCAACGGGACTGAATCTCATGGCTTCTCTACTCCATAGTTCAACCACAGTGGCTTGTCTCTGGAAAGTAGGCTGGCATAACTCACCTCGCATCAATACCGTTAAGGAAAAAGAAGGAAAATGAAATATCACTTTCGCTTTCTTTCAGTCTGCATAAGTACAGCGTTTTATGCTTCCGTTGATATATTTTTATTGTGATCCTCACCGGGACATGCAAACTGAAAATGGACGGATGGATGAGATATTTTCTATTGATATATTTAAATGGGTCATACCTCTTATCAGTTCTCTTTAAGAACATAAAGAGAAATGGTTTGTCTTTTCACCTCACTGACTTGCCTGTCAGCCTCACTGACCATTGCCGCACTGGCTCTCCTTTTAATGATATTATGTGTTCCTTTTAAAGCGATGACACTGCCTGAGCCCCTGGCGTGCCCTCTGCTAACCGCAGAAAGCGGGGTTTCCTCACAGTGCAGGAGGGGAGAATGAGCCCTCACAGCCCTCCCCATCTGGTGGTTGTACCTTTGTTTGGTGGCTAATGACAGTGGTGATGGAACTGTCACGGTGCTCTGGGCACGGGCCCCAAGCCAAGAAGGGAGTGGCCTTGCGCTGGATTCACGGGAGCTCTGCCTCATGCATACTTACAAAACCTTGAAATCTCACATTGTGTCACAACACTGTGCACACAACATGATGCAGACACACATGAATTTCTGTGTATTTTTATACATGCCTTCTTATGCTGATTTTTTTTTTAAAAAAAAAAGAATAACATCGATTATGTTTGTTCCTATGACTACGAAATAAATACAAATGCTACCATTATAGCAGCATATTTGTTGCTTTATTTATAACTATAACTGCAACTTTAAATATAGATCACAGCTCAAATATCACGAGCCCATGTTTTGCATACGATATACATTTATGACAAATATAGATCATAAACATCCCTCATATTACACAACATGCAGAAAAAGAAAATGGCTCAATGCAAAAAAATAAAAAGAGACCTTTTCCTCAAATTTTCCAAAGCAATTGGTCCTCACAAGGGTATCGCATGTCAATTGTCTTGGGGGTCGTTCTAAACTTCTCCTGTGGATGCGTTTCCTGCGGTTCAGCTGAGCGTGCACTCTCATTCGGAGGCAGCGAGCGGCGCTGCCTATTAAAATGTAAATTCCCTCTCGGTGTAGCGGGCCCAGACTTGGAGCCCGGCGGGCGACGGGGAGGCGGGGGTCTACTCAAGGGTTGGGAGACGTGTCTGCTCGCTCTGTTCTTCATGCTGCTCTGTGCCTGGATCCGAGCACCCAGCAAGGACGGGAAAATATGGCACACGTGATACCGACATTTATATGGCTTCTGTCTTTAAATATAATACATTAAATTATTGTTTCAGTTTTAAGTGCAGGTCAATTTTGAGATCAATATATAATTACAGATATCAACTAAAGATAACGTATGTAAAAAATACGGATACTGAAAAAACAAGAAACATGTCTGAAGAAATAAGAAACATAATCAGGTTTTATTTTTGTCATAGGTAGCGGTAAAATGGGAATTATCATTAATATATACAGTAGTTATCTATTGCTTTCGGTGTATTTATGCGCCATTAAAATATTTCATTAAATCATTTTAGCTTGGCGTCTATGTTAGTAGACATGCAGCACAAAACAAGTAAAGACAAACCACTTCTTTAAAAAGGAGGGGGGCGGGTGGGAAACTATCTATTTTCAAAAAATTATAAAACTAAATTAAAATGTGGTCTCGCAAAACGCCCGCGGGAGTTGCGCGAGCGGCAGCTGAGGCAGCGCAAGCCGGACCTTCGCGCGCTTCATACCGGCCTTCCCCGCGTTTCTGCAGCAAAATTAAAATGTTTCACGGCGTTCATAGATAAGACCAAGCTTTTTAAACAACGAAAGATACTGTTTAAAGTCTCTCCTCTCATGGGACTAGACTGGCTAGCTAATTTTAGTCATATAGGGCATAACGAAATGCCTTGTCGACAAACAAATGTAGTGAAATGTTATGAAGACAATGATTGACGCTTTGTTTTCAAGAGAAAACTGTATGCTACCACAGTGGACAGCAACTCACTGGTAAGTCCACAAAAATTAAATGGGGAAATTAAGGACCGAAATTGCATAACTTACAGGCATATGAATCATGACGTTGCTATCTAATTGTATAGACAATGCAGGCCAGGGGCCACAACAAATATTCCTAATCCTGTTTAATACCAGCTCGTAATTTACCTCCCTGAAAGATAAAGGGGACAACCCTTTAAGGCTTCAAAAATAATTCTTTATTTACTTATGGTTTATTATTTGTTTTTTTTTAATATATATATATATAGTGAAATAATTTGTGTATTTAACTTAACTATACTGCTTCATTCGAACATAACTGCCTTAATTTCATCAGGGGACCCGGTTAAAGGTCGATGTTTCCTAGTCTTTTTCCCGCTGTCACTGTTCGTTCTGACGGCTTCCGCCCGCGTTAATGGCAGCGCTCAGGCTGAGTCGGGGAGCACCTTCCCCGTCACGCAGAGCCAAAGATGTGCCAGGCCTGAGTCGCCATGGCAACCCGCGCGGGCCTCGCGTCATACACCCGCAATGACCTCGCGCTCGGGAATTTTTACCTTTTAAGAAAAATATTACACAGTGATTAGCATGAATATCAAACAGTAGCTCCAGTTTACATTTACAGACTGGGCATTTTCCAGCCCCCATATTGGATAGCTTGAAGGACTTTTCCCCTTAATTACTGACTTACTTTGGGCTGATTAAGGCGCTTTATCTTCACTTTATCTAGTTATTAGTCCAATCAGACATTTAAGGAATTAAGTTACTTGCATAATTTTCTTACTATTAAAGGCAACAGTTACAAAATTGTAACATCACATATGAAGTCTCTTTATAAAATTTTATTTTATACTAGCACACTTCCTTTTGGCGTTTTTAACAGAACGTTTCAGATTTTATTTGGTACAATTAGCACCGTGAAGGGAAACAGGTGCTTCCATCTACTTTGTGGCTATTGAGCTGTACTTATGAAATGTCGCTAGATGGAGCTGTGATCTTATTGTAGACGCTTTCTACAAAATGCTTTGTTATTAGTTTTCTTCTCATAAGGCAAAATCACTAAATTCTAAGTGAGGTAAACTGTCAGGACATAATTTTATCATAAACAAATAAATAAAGTATAAAGCAGTGTAGAGAAATAAATCACATGGTTTATGGATTAATATACGCAATTTATTTCATTGTACAAAATATACATCTTTTCATACTGCATGGCTATGGTTCGTTACATTGGAAACTACAGCGACCATTCCATATATTAGAGCAGATGTTCTTGGGGGAGATTTGAATTTGCAACTCTGCTGAAAAGCCTGAAAAAAAATGTTGAAATCTGCCCACCTGTGTCTAAAAGACTGTAGAGCATGTCCCGGTCCTGTGAAATACAATATATGTATGAGTGCAGAATGCAAAGCTGTGTCCTTGCAGCTACAGATGTCTGTCATCTGTAAACTTTGAAAAAATTGATTAGGAGGTAAATTGGAAACAGTTTATGTTTTTTTTTTTTTTTTTTTATTGTGCTGATGTAAACATTAGGGTAGTTGGTGAATGTTTGTATGTTGTTCAGGAGCCTTGCTCACAGTATTATTAAGCAAGAGTAGAGGGAGTCCCCGATTAATCACAGTGCCCAAAACAAAATGATGAGTTTTACTGATTCCAGCTACTGGTGCCTTCTAAGGGTGTGCCCCCTCCAAACTCATCCTGTTTTTAAGTCGCTAAAGTGGATGGTAATCCCTTATATATAAGATGTATTTGGTTTTGTCTGCGCATCTAATTATCAATCCCTAGATCAGGACGTTACGCAGTTAGTGTTAGTGTGACCTCTGAATTGGGCTTCCCTTTAAATTAACTCTGGCAGCCCTGCCATTTGTTGTTTCACAGTTATAAGCATTGATCTGATTTATTTATAATGTGCATGACATTTCAATATTTCTTCAATACTGTAAGTGATTTTGATAATGGCAAAGATTTAAATAACCAAAGATAAGATTTTAGGGTTAGTGACTTAAAAATGGAGATGTTCATTTAGACAAGATATTCTTTTAACATTTTAAACAGGGGTTGTAAGGATAATGTTTCAATGAAGCCTGTTAAACGTGGGTGTGCTTTTTAAAAATATTTTTTCTATGAGTGTAATTTGCTAATGAATGTTTCCCTCTGATTGATGATCTAAATCGGAACTCATTTTCCATCACCAGAAAAAAGTGGATGGTTTCTATCCTGTTGTGAAATCACTGGTGATTCACGTTCATTGATGTTTTGAGGTGCTGGTTAAAAAAACAGTGACTGTGTGCTGGATAAGCATTATCAGAGATGGATGGATGGAAGCATTTTGGTATTTTCCATCTTTGCCTGCTATAAAAATATAGGAGTGCAGTTTTAAGTGCATTGTAATTCAAAGGGAAGTATAATGTGTATTCTTAATGGCTCCCGACATATATGTTATGATATGTGCTGGTTAGGGTTTGAACTATCATTACTAGAAAGTAACTATATACAAACTGAAAACAATGTGCCAAGATTTTTTTTTGCGGGCCTTTTGAACCCAGAGTTCAAATATCATTGTTACAGCTTCTCTGTGAGTGCCAGTTCCCAAATACTGCTGTTATTGCTGATTGAAACACCACAAGGACCCTCGTAAAAGCTCTGAAGTGCCCTAGAAAAATGATATAAAATACTCTGCTGTCCTCCTTGTCAAAATGTTGTGTTACACATCTGCAGTTCAAAGCACTCAGCCCCGATAACACAATTATTTCATCCAAAAAACATGGCTTTATTGGCGTGGCGATTTCTGTTACAATATAACTGACTTTGGTTCTGACCAAAGACTTCAATAGTCATTTTTTTGTTTACTAGACATTTCAGTTGCCCTCCTTATGTGATCAGACCTTGACATTTCATTTTCCCACAATGCCGTGCCCTTCCTTGACACAGTTAATGTTTTGTGTGTGGTCAGTTTAAGTGGGCAGTTGATTTATTATGCTGCTGTCTTAGGTGACTCTTTAGTGGATCACTGTTTGTCGTACAGTTACATTGTTGAGGTTCTATATTTATCTACTTGTCTCATTGCATTAAACAGATTAAAATGCTATCAGTATTGTGTTTAAAACGGTTCTATATGTATTTAATGTTCAGTGCTTATTAAATGTTCAAATAATTCAGTAGGTAAACCAATTTTTTTTAATCATGGAATATAGAGAATAGATAAGCCTATTTATGTTTAAGAAAGGAATGTTCGTCTACCAATAACTAGTAAGAAAAGTATAACTGATAAGCAGGTGAGTTTTTATGCCTGTGATTGGTTGCTTACCTCTGGTTGTTTAAGGGTAACAACTAGCTTAATATTTTACCTTCGTTTTCTCATTACTTTCTTTTCAGCCCTTTTTCATTGTCCTCCCATCTTGTATATTCAGTAAGATTGATTGCATTATAATTTTAAACATTCTAATTAACATATGAATATTTAAATAATCCACATTTTGATAATTAGATATTTCTAGACATCTAGGAATATATCTACTATAATAAAGTGCTATTTCTAGTATAAAGAGAATGAGCATTGCCATGTCTGGATTGAAGAGAAGCACGTTTAGCTGGAGTTCACACAGGTGTTTATATTGCCTCATATTATGTTGAATTGTGATTTTTAAAAATTTTTTTTTGCTAAATTTTCACTGTAGAAGTGGAGGTTTGAGGGTGAGTGAGCTGGATGTTCTGCCGTCGTGAGACAGAGCTAGTCTGGGTGAATCGTCTTCCCATCTCTGGCAGGTCCAACACAAGAAGCCTCCATGAGGAACCCCTTCTGGCCCCCAACCCCCCCCCCCCCCAGGAGCGATTCGCACAGTTAAACACGTTGTGATTTATTGTGCTTTAATTTGGGCTCTCCATTGTTTGCTGCTTGCTGTGGGTTGCCTGCTGACAGTAATTTCTGCAGTTTGTTTGGATTCTGCCTGAGCTAATAGCACTCTCTTTTACTCCGTGTTTAGCCTGAATGCGACAGGAGGAAGTAGGAAATAAACAGCAGTTCCTATTTACCCTGCCAATTTCACTTGACGGCGCGCAGCGTATTGAAATGAACTGGGCCCCTGTCTAATACCGCTGAAAGGCCAGGCCGCCAGTGGCAGAGATAGATTGTAGCAGGCAATTACTGTGGCCCGGCCTCTGATTAGAGAGCTGCCCGCTCAACAGCCAGCCCCGCGCCTGCCTCTTATCGTGATGAAGCGGGGATTGGCCGAGACATTGTTTGATTGCTTTCAGACACGTTTGCTAAATCCGCCACACACACCGGCTGCTCCCGGCCCTTCGCCCGCCACGTGCATAACCCGCGCGGATCATTCCCCTTTTTTTACTTTCTTCTGGCAGCTACCCAGCCTGCCCCTCCCTTCCCCATCCTCTCTGCAGAGGGCATCTCACATTTGGAGGTGACTGGCATATCATCATCATCATCATCCACCAAGATGGCGTTGTCTCTGTTGGCTGACCACAGCAATACTGGGGTGGTACCAGGAAGAAGGCACAGCCTTTTGCTCAGCTGAAAATAAAATCTGAAAGTTTTATATGCAGATTATGCATTGTGTAGCAGGTGGCTGTCCCTGGTTGGGACACGTGTCCCCAAGTTTGACCTCTTAGCTCTTTACATGCACTGTGCAGTGGATGGGAGCCACTAAATGAAGAGGTAGATCATTCCCTGGGCATATGTGTAAAGCTGTAAAGCTTATTTGAACATGACCTTTTAAAATGGGAGCATCATTGTGCAATTCAGCTGAGACGTGTCTCACTCCTGGCTTGACTCTGACCATCCCTCTGTATCTGATGCCCTCGGGGGCCAAGTCAGGAACGCTGGAGCATCCTGTTACAAAGTGTTCTAGTTATTATGAGTGAAAAAGCACTGTAAAGAAAATGTCTTTTTCCTCCCCTTTTCTCATATTTGATTTACCCTCTCTGTATTCTTTTGATATCAGTGTCCACATACAATACAGAGAGTTGCTAGAAGGAGGTGGCTGACCGTTGGAGTGCGTCGGGCTAGAAAGCAACTCACTATCGCTGTGGCAGTGGACTGTCTAGTAAGAGTGGAGTTGATAATAAACCACCTCCAAGACCACTGTCCATTCTCATGCCCCTTGGGGTTCTGGGGAGGATAAGCAGCGGCCAACCATGCATACTGTGCCAGCTCAGGGGTCATTACCCTCTAAGCCCCCCATCCCAACCCATCCCACCCCAGCCCGGACAGTTGTGGTGCAGTGGCAGAAAATAACACAAACATTAAACACACTCTGGCTGGAAGCAGTGCTTGAAGTGGGAAAAAAATGAGTGCTGGTACTCGCCTTCTTATTCAGTACCAGGTGCCAATACTGTCCTTGTTATTCAGTACCAGCAAATACTGAGAGGTGCCGGTACTCTGAAGAGAAACAAAGAGGTGCTGGTACTGTGTACTGGTGAGTACTGGCCCACTTCAAGCACTGGTTGGAAGTAAACTTTTTTTCTTTCCTTTATTCCCGTCTGCAGTAACTGTCCAGGTCTGTGATACTTCCTTTCCCTGGACTGTGGACAAATTCAGCACCATGATGGCCTATAACATTGGTTCCTGCTGATTTCTGAGTATGCTGAACTACGCTATGCCACAACATCACCTTGCACACTCTCTGTGGCCGTGAAAACTGATTTATGGGCCAGTGTGGGATTGATTGTGCCCTGTGCTTAGTGATATACATTAATTTTATGTGTAAGCCCCTAAACCGTAATTTGTATTTTTGTAATTTTCCACATGATTTTGTGTTTTATTTGAACATGCATGTTTACAACTGATACAGGCTGGGCACAGTGCAACCAGCAAAAAGGAAAACTTAGAAGATTTAGGATCTCCTTGCTGCTCGGGAGTGCTGAAAGGTTTCATTTTCTTATCGCTTTGTGCATGTATGTTATTATTTTCCTAAATACTATTTAGTGTTGCACCACTGACTGAAGCCAACCCCCCTTCCCCCCACCCTTCTCTCCCAGTCCAACCCAACTCAGCCCAGCCCACCGTTAATAAAAAGCCCAGTGCAAACCTAGCATTTAGGGACCTGCGCAGCTGAAAGCTATAAGCAGTGATCCCAGCTGTGCGTTCACAGGCACCCAAATTAATCCCAAGCAATTTTTCTGCGCCAGTGCTGCTGATAAAGGCAGGCACAGCATTCAAATGGGTTGTGCCTTGACAGCATTAGCTTCTTACTGTATTGGACCAGTATTTCGGACTGTGGTCAGACATGCACCATCGAGGGAGCTGGTGGTATTAATCAGCAGCACTAAAACACTGATCAACATGCTTTCTGTCTTTTCGGTTGGGAAGTTCGTTGTTCATTAACTTTAACTTTTAACTTTGTGGACCTTGAAGAAGTTGCTAATTGCAAAGGGCTTGTAAAATTGTTTATTTCCTTTCCTGAATTTGCAGCAGGGTTTTTTTTTTATTATTATTATTGTTTACATTAAATACCGTATACACTGTACGCAGCATATGTGCACTGGAGTCAGCGTAGATCAGCACAGAGGTTTGTCTGCTCATTTTTTTTTAAAGCTGGAAAGCGCTTATGTTAGCCATTGGTAGTGGATTTTTTGTAATGGCTCTATAGAATCACCTGCCAGTCGCTGTGAGAGAGAGCTGCATGGTCAAGGCGAGGTATCAGTAAAGAATTCATATCAGAGTCACCCTTGCAACAATAACATCCGTATGGAGAAATGCGCTGCAGCATCCCAGGCAGAAACAGCATAAAATCACTTCAACTCCCCTATTATATGCGGCGCAATAAAACGGAATTGTTCGACAGTGCTTTTCCTCCCACTTTAAAGCCATAAAAGTCAGCGATGAAGGCCAGGACTTCAAAAAGAGATTTATGTCACAGACATTTTCTTTCCCCCCCCCCCCCCTATTTAGGGCTTCTCCCTTCTTAAACTGATAGTTTCCGTTTTTGAATAATATGCCTTCACTGACCTATTTGTTTGTTCACTGCACCAAAGAAAACATGCAGCACTGGTTTTCACAGTAACGCGAGGGTTTGCCAAGCACAATAAAAAAAAAANGAAGGCCAGGACTTCAAAAAGAGATTTATGTCACAGACATTTTCTTTCCCCCCCCCCCCCTTTTTTTAGGGTTGTGCCTTCTTAATATCATAGTTTCCCTTTTTGAATTATATGCCTTCACTGACCTGTGTGTTTGTTCACTGCACCAAAGAAAACATGCAGCACTGGTTTTCACAGTAACGCGAGGGTTTGCCAAGCACAATAAAAAAAAAAAAAAAATACAGTTCTCTTATGTTCACCAAACAAGCGTGCAAATTAGTGTTTTGAAGTGTAGGTATGCAGTGTGACAAATGTCATCACATATCAGCGCCAACTTCACACTCACAGTGTGGTGAGCTGTGTGTCAAAGGAAAACCAGTGAATGAAGACTTCTCAGTTTATCTGCACTGGATATTGCATAAGTGTTTTAAACTTTCGATTCTGATAAGCTGATGACAGTTAATTTATGTTTTTTTTTTTACTTTTGTGATCTGGCTGCCCTTCCTCCTGCCTTCTCTTCACTTGCGCACTCACACTGAATTTGATAAGTCTCCCCAATTCTTGTGGCAAAACAGTGGTGTAGACTCACAAATCCAGCCCTCATTTGTTCTGCTGAGTCCTCAAGCCTGCGTTTCTGTAATAGTGTCACTTTTCCTCCAAATAGAATTCAACTGAACTCCACTTATATACAGTCATAGGAGCAGAGCCAAGGGTTGGACTGGTGATCTGAGCACCTGTAGACTGGGCTGTTCTGGGTGTCCTGAAGATGTTTCTCGGAACCAAGGAACACAGTGTGAGCCAGGCCTCCTAATAGATGGGTTAGCAGCAACGCTGATCGGCCACTTACACGAAAACGAGCTTGGCTCTTTTAAAGATAATGGTAATAGTTCATCGATTGGGCCAGCTATGGACTGCAGTGATTATCTGAACTGAGGCAACACACTCAAGGCAGTCCACCGCAGCTTGTTGGGTCATTTTGCCTTCACCTAATCATGCACCTAATGTCTCACCTCTCAGACCTGTCTGCTGATAGCGGGCAAGCCCATAATGGCACCGCTGGAAGCCACAGTAGTGTGTGTGTCTGTCTCCTCACTAGATCACCTGGATGCTACATCTCAGCCACAGTTGTTTTTCTCCGCGATCAGGTGTGCCATGACTGTGGTTTTCTGAAGTAGTTTCATCTATGGAGCCCTTGGGAAATATTACATTTACATTAAATAACAATTTAATGTAATGTATTTAGCTTGCATAGATTCCTCAGATTCTGCAAAGAATATATTGTGGGCAGTATTTCGTTATGGTATATTTTCTACAGATTTAATTTTCCATTTAGCAGCTATGCTCTTAATTTCATTCTTGAAATATCCCTATTATGTCTTGCTATTGTAACCTTATACTCGTAAGCTGTTCCTGATAAAAATCTGATATATTAGGGGATGAATTGCCTCCATGTTTAATAGATAATTCGATAAATTAGTATTTGCGCAAAAATATGGATTAGTTAAGTTAATAAGCGGCAAATTGGATGTTTATAGTAACCATACCAATTAAGATTTAATGTAGTGATTTATTTTTATCTTTAATATTTAAATGATTATAACTTAACCTAAAGTTTAACCTGAAGCTCAATTAAAAACTAGCTAAATATGTAAAGAGAAGTTATGTACAGGATGGAAATATATTTGTGTACTTTAATGTTTATAGCAATATGTATTATGTATACATACAGAGCGGTATGTATGTTAGCGTATGTGTGTGTGTGTATATATATATAATTAAATATGAGGTATGAATTTTAGTTTGTATTAATTATTTTGTTCACTCTGCAGCTTTATGAATTGCGGACAACCCCTTACTTTTTCAGGCAATGTACAAGGGCAGAAGTGGGGACAGAGATGACCTTAGCTGGCCAGGCCCATAGAAAGGGGACACGGCATCTGTTTGGAAATCATCTGCATGAGAAAGGTTTGCTGTGCATTTTTTTCCTTTCTTCCTGGATTCTGCGGCTTTGACAGAGAAGCCCACCTGAATGACATTTACAAATTACCCAGCAGAAAGTGCCCAGTCCTCTGACCCGTGTGCTTCCATTCTGCACCCAGTGAGATTTGCAAGCATTTTGTCATATAATTACTGCAAATCCCTTGAAAATTCCCCCCCCCCCTCCCACAAAGCCCATCTGAATAGTAATGTGTGATGAGTCCCTGTCTGAGGATCCGCACACTCACAAGGAGGTAGCTGGGAATGAAAGAGGAGGAAATCATATGTGTATTAGAGGTGCATGGGCATGTATAACAGTTTTTGTTTGTTTATTGGAGTGTATTGTGTATGATTCTGAGTCTGGTTACTTGCGTTCAAATATACAAGAATGTTTGCGTTTGTGTCTGCGGTTGTTCTGATTTAGCATTGACTAGCTCTAGGGTTTATCCTTGTGCACATGTTATGAACATGGAAGTTAGTTAAGAGACAAATTCAACAAGACTCACTGGATTTTATCTCTTTGCTTTCACTATGATGTTTAAGGTGATTTGTTCATCACAGCCTCCATTGTTTGCTTCTTTTTCCATTTCCTATTACTTATATCTAAACACAGTTATTTAATAAAATCATAAAATTATTTCCATTTATCAGCATTTTTGACATTAGTAATGGTAACAAATGAATTATTATTAATAATAATAATTGTCATAATAATAATTACTATTATTATTTTTATATTTTTAAAAGCATTTTTGCATGCTAACTATTAATAACTTAAGTACAACATTGGGTTCTATAAAATATATCCAGCATGTGTGTGTGAGTCTTCTCATGAACGCATGGTGTGTTGATGGCTGGTTGTATGTGTCAGTCCCTTGATTGCACACTAGAAGGCAGAAATGAAAAGGATAATCTAATTGAACAACTTTAAAGCACTGTGGCTGTTTCATGTACTCCTTTGGAACGGACGTAATTTGAGCGCTGTTACTCACCCAAGCGTGTCTGCACTGAAGGTCAGCTGTCTGCCAATGAGAACATGCATAAAATGTAAAACCACTCTCTCTTTCTCATACACATCAGTGCATCTCAATAATTTTGATGTTGTTATTTTTCTATTTTTACACAAAGTTTAAGGAAACCAAGTTGTCCCATTAGGCTATAATATTCAGTCTCGATAGAAAGGATCAGAATAATTACTGAGTCTGCTTCTGTAAACAAGTTTATATTGGAATGCGGTGGCTGTATCTTGGTGAAATTCAGAACAAGCTTGTCTTTATATGTATATTTGGTATCACTTTCTATGAATGGCCCATCTATAAGAATCTATGAACATATTTTTTAACACATTATAATGCATTCATAAAGCATTATAAACATGGCTATAAATATTTATAAAAAGGCATAATACATTTATTTTTAACCATGTTTATTATGCTTTCTGAAGCTCTCATCTGTAATGCACTTTAGATGCCTTCATAATGCAGTAAAAAGTATCTTTAATTCTTATACTACATAATTAAGGTATCTACAGTGTATTATAGATGAGAGCTTTAAGTGTTACCATATATCTTTTTTCACAATATGTCATTTTGCCTTCAGCTCCATTTTTGTCCTTCTACTTCTACTTTTGTCATTCTAGTTCAGTGTTCAGTTCAGTAGTTCAATATTGCTTTTATTTTTCCTTTAATCAATTAAGCTTGGTTGTGTTTCCACAGAAGAGGATTCTCTTCCATGTGAGGCTGGTTGGTGATTTTTTTTTTAATTCGCTGTATTTTTTCTTCTGGCTTGAGTGAGGTTTCTGTATTCATTCATGCATCTACTGGCATGTTGATCCAGTTTAAAAATCTGAGAGATTGGCAAACTCAGCGGTAAAGATAATAAAGTTTTGTCCTTTTTTGCTGGTTTTCTGTTTCCGTGAAGGTGATTTAGATGTTCCGTTAGTTATGCTAACATGATCACGCCTTAATTTATGTTTTGGTGCCTTGGAATTTGAACTTTGTTAAAAAGAAGTAGAAGGTATCACAGGAAAAAAACTTTCAGTAAACACTCGGTAGACATAAATACAGTGCTAATATCACGGAACATCTTTGCTATTATTTATTGTGTATTATTCAATCCTCAAATATCAAAAATCAAAGACTAGTAGCCAGTAGGATGTCTCTGCTGGATTATTATTTTTGTTTTTAGCTGCCCTGTGGCATGCCTGTCAGTACCTTATTCTGCAGATTCTGCTGCTGCTTCTGCTCTCCCTCCTGCTCTGTCAGAATAGTGGCGGGGATGCATGGATGTGCCGTTGTCTGCCCTCAGTATGCAGGGTAAGTCATTGGGGTTTATGGGCGCAATGCATCACTGTACCTTTCCAGCCTTTAAGTCCATTGAGCGTCACTTTGAATGAGGTTACCGCCCGAACAGAGTAAACAAGATCTGCCGGGGAGACGGAGGCACTCGGAATACAGAATTCCCAGTCCCAAATAATAACGGCACCAGTCCTCCATTAGCCCACCACCACATTTCAGAGTGAATGAGCTGCAGCGAGTGGGCTGGGGCTGCCCCGAAGTCAACAACAAATCCCCACGTTTTGCTTCCATGCGTCGTCTCTGAGATTGTGAATTCTCTTTCCCTCTCACTCTTCCCCCCCCTTTTATCATCTCTTGAAAATATTCAATGGTCAGCGAGACTTTGGGAGTGGGTAAGGTCACAGAAGCTCAGCAGAGTGTCAGGTGTGAAGAATTTTGTTTTTGAGGGCTCCAGATTAAGTTGTAGCTATTTGGATAAGTGAAATTCCAATTCAGAAAAAGCCCCGCAACATTTGTGGACTGTTGTTCTTGGTCTGATTTTCAGTATTTTTTTTTTGTTCAGTCTTTTTGAAGTATATGTTTTGTTTGGATTTTGATAATACTTTGATGTAATGGGGTCATTTCCTCAGATGAATTGCTTTAACACTGCGGCTTAATTGAACTTTATATATTTTTACATCAAAAGTTTAATTATTCCATTACTGCTAGCTACATATACATATACTTGTAGAACGCGGTACCAGCTGCTACAGGCTAACTCTGCTTGGAAAGGTAGCAGGAATATATGCTCAGGCAGCTTGGACTGACTAGTTAAGGCCCAGGAGGGGAAAGACAGGGGGTGGGGTGGGGGGAATCTAATATGAAAATGAAAATGTAAATGCAGAAGCAGTGAGCGGTTTTTTCCAGCTGGCCTAATCTTGCCTCTGCGGGACCCAGATAGCGATCGCTAACAGGAGGCTCGTGCTGGGCTCCTTTGAAATGCAGAACGGGCCCTGTGTGTAAATTGGAGCCACGGCGATGGAGCCGCAAGATGACACATTGAGCTGCGACCCTCTTGCCTGATTGGGGCCGAACGCAGCAAAGGTAAATCTTGCACATCAGACAATTTCATTTTCAGCGCAGAGGGGACGCACAACACAATGCCTGGATCTTTTCAAATGATAATACCCCCCTTTGAAGCATATCATCATTTACGTTTTTTTTTCTTCTTAACATATAAACTCATGCCTGAAGAAGAACAACAATGTGTCATATTAGTTTGGGATATGGCTCTTTTCTCAAAGGAACTTTTTTATCCTCTTACCTTTCTCCTCTAAACCCACAAGAGTAACCATTCAGCGGGTGTGATGTCCTTAATTGTGTAAATAGGTATGATTCTCCTATGGATATGACCCTGTAGGCCTTACTACAGCACCAAAGCAAAATATTAAGCTTCTTGCCTGTTCACTACATTATTTTTGTGATGCATGTTTGTTTGTGTAAGGCTTCAAAGTGGGTTCCCCTACTTACATAGTGATATGAATGTTGGTGCATCGATGCTCTGTTGTAGCACAATGCTGTTTGTTGTGGATCTGTATATCAGTGTTGCATTGATGTCTTAATCCGCTGCATGACAACCACATTTCATTCCTGTTTATATGTGTATGTAACATTGCATGTGCTATATTTTCCGAGATGATATCATGTATGCCTTAAAATAATGTCTAAAATAATTCCCTAAAATAGTTTGATGATATCATGCATGCCTTAAAATAATGTTCTATTCATTTATGCATTACTTTGTAAGCCGGCTGCAAAAGATCATTTTCCAACAGTCTGCAATGCATCATCAGGATAAAGACTTCTATTTGACATCCATAAGGAAACATCTCGCAAGAATGTCCTGATTTGATTTTGTTAATGATTTGGCCTGATGCTTGTAGCTGACAGCTGATGGACTCAAAGCCCCTGTGCAGGTGGCGGATGCATGGCTCATCTTCAAAAGTGACAAATAAAAGAGGAAAATAACAGGCATTGCTCTAATGACAAACCAGTTTAGCAATCATTTAAATTAGAGCCTTTGAGCAGAGTAAAACAGAGGTTTCTCCGGGCTTCTGATGATGCGTGTTTTTGACTCATCTGACGCCGGCCCTCGCCTTAATGAATGATTTGTTGGGGAGGTGGCCACTGCCTCCATACCACGATAGGGCTAACCCGGCTCTCACCTCGCCCGCGTTGGCTCGTTGATGGAAAGTGACACTGTGATTGTACGGCAGGCTCCGCCGGGCTCAGATGAGGGTGTCACTTCTGCCTAGCCTGATTGCCACTTTCTCGCCGTAACACGGAGGAGTTAAATTGAGGGAGAAAAGGTCAGAAGCCAGTGGTCATCTGCTCTCCTGTCTCCCAAATTACTTTTCCCCTCGGAGAGGAATGAAAACAGACAGGGCCGGCTCGGCCTCGGAGCAGAGATGATCCGGGGCGTCGGCATTGGTGAGGAATGCAAACGAGGGAGTGCTATGGATACTGGGTTGAGGAGACCAGTAGGGTGGGTTGGGCTCATGAAGCTTTTGAGGCCTGGGTGACGAGAGGTGAAGGAGCAGCAACTGAAACGCCAAGGACTTCTGAAGGTCAGCCTGAGCAGAATGTTGGACACTTGGATTCAAAGACTGAGAGGTCCAACCACAACAAGAGAAATGCCAGGGGCAGAAAATT